GAGACGCTATCGACTCATCGGGCCCGACACGACCCGATTCGAACCTTCGACCACCGACTACGGCAAGGGACCGAGTTCACGGGCCCTTTCGGTTTCGATCTACCCCGCCCGCCATACTTGCGGGCCCGACTATTCGTCTGTTCTGTTCCGGGCGCGTTCTTAGGAGAGGTCCTTGCACGGCCCGACCCGCAGTCTGACAGAATCTAAGCGATCCCCCTACACCCGCAACAGAATGGACACTACCACCGTCATCGCACTCCCGGCGTGGGCCACGATAGTGGCTATCGTCATCGCCTCCCTTGCCTACCTATACGGACGCACCCTCGAAGCCCAGCCCGTGGTCTTCAACCGCGTCCTCTACGGGAGAAAGGAGCCCGCCCTGAAGTGGGGCACCCCTAGGCGGGTCTCCTTGACGAACACCATCGGCACATGGAACACACTTGCCCGGCCCAGGGCGCCGGGCCCGCCGCAAAGCGCCGACGCCTCAACAACTCCCCGCCCCCCCCGCACGGCCGAACCCCGATCCGACCGTCTCGGACCGCCCCGGCCACCGGCACACTCTGCCTGACGAAATGGGACACACCTCCCTCCCGCACGAAGGCCCTGGGGGCCCGTTCTTATCTCTCTCGTAATCTGCTCTACTTAATCTGTGGCGGGGCCTCTGCCCCTAATAATAAAACTCTTTCTTCACCCATCACACAACGGACGAGCGCAAGACGAATCGATCGATTACAAAACAGCCAAAATACAAAAAAAGGGGAAAAAAAAAACACGCAGACCAAAAACAAACACGATACGGTCCGAATCATCACGGGGGCGCCCTACGGGAGGGGGCCGACTGGACAGAGCGCGCGAACAATGACAGCAAAACAAAAGGAGGAGGATACCCGAACGCCGCGACCCGAGTAGACGGGGAACTCCGGCCGAGGTCGCCGAAAGACGACGAACGACCCGCCGAAGCCTAATCCAGGTCCATCATGTCGAAGCTCAGGCCGTCCTGACGGCACACATTCGCATATACCTCTCGTTCAGCGGCCCGACGCTCTAAACCCTCCGGGCGTTTCCCAGAATCCCGACCTCTCCCCTTCGGACCGGTGGATAGCCAGAAGAATGGCGCCCAGATAGCGGCACACGTCGGGCGACGTCCCGCGAGGCGGTCAGGGACTCCAGCGAGTTCACCAACCGGAGGTCTGCATCCAGGGAACGCATCGACGACAACTCCGCGAGTGCGCGGGTCCGAGCATCCGGGAAGCCCCCGTCGGCCGAATGAACCGCCGACTGTTGCAGCAACAGCACGCCCAACGGAGACAAGCGCTGATCGGCGGGTACCGACGGGTCCCCATGCAACCGGGCGAGACTCGGCAATGGCCCGATCCAAGTCCCATCCCCTCCCGAACCACAGGGAGACTCGAGGGAACGAAGGCACCTGGAAACCCATGGTGGGATAAGAAAGAGGGTGGGTCTCACCCGCAGGGACGGATGGCCGGGACGAGGCCTCTCCTAACGAGCGATTCGCGACAGGGGAGGCCGGCCGGCGGAAAGTGGGGCGGGGGCCTCGGCGGGGGCCGACTTGACGATGGTGGGGGAGACGGCGAGCGGGTGCGAACTCGTTTCGCACGGGGACGGGGAGGAGTCCCGAGAAGACGCTGACGAAAGGACGACCGGGCGGCGACGACGGCCCGAAGAAGGCCCGACCGTCGGGGTTGGGCTCCGCCCGAACCGATCCTCGTTTGATCGGGGCAAATAGGAGAACAAGAAGGACCGGTGCGGGACCGATGCGGACAGCCCGACTAGATCAGCGAAGCGGGGATCGGGACGTAGCAGCGCAAACTCGCCATCCTCGACTTGACGCTCCCAAAACTCGAAGGAAAAATCGTGCAGAGCCGCGGAGCGAGCCTTGTACGCATCTGCAAAAGACCGCCAGCGCAGACAAGCACGATGGAGCGGGCTACACGCGTCACAAGCCCGACGCACGGGACCAGGGAGTTTCTGGGGAGAACTGTCTGGGGCGCCCCACACGGTGCACAAACGATCATGAGCGATGCAATACTGCAGCGAGGGGAGAGGGATCGGATCACGGTCCCCGGGCGACGGGGGGCTCTCCCGAAAAAGCGCCAGCTGTCCAGTGGACTCGAGACGAGGGGCCAAGGGGGTGCCAAATCCCGGTGCAACGGGGTAGGCGACGAGGCCGGGGAAAAAGGAGGGTCAAGCTCATCCTCTACCGAATCGTGTTCCGAAGGGTCGATCCCCAGCGAGGACAAGCGACGGGGGCCGGCAATGACTTCCACATCCGAACTCGAGTCCGGATCAGAGGGGAGGAACAGGAGGGTCGAAACAGGCGGGGCACCGTCATGCTCCACGTCGATCTCCATAGAGGGGGAGGATCGCGCCCGAGCCACGGGCGTAGGGGGCACGCGCTTTCCCATCAGGGCCGTCACCCCGGCACCTTCCGGATCACTTCCAGGGCTCGGGAATTGATCGTCTAACCAAGTTGCCAAAGGGAGGAAGCTAAAAGAGACGCCCGCCTCCGCCTCATCCAACGAAGGGCCACCCGAGAACGCGACCTCGTCCCCGAGGATCCGGCAAGAAGACTACCCGAACGAATGACGACCACCGGTCGGCGTGAAGGAACGGGCGGCACGAGAGACGGAGGGAGAGGGCCCAGCAGACGGGCCAGCGTATCGGGCCGAGTTATATTCTCTCCGGGAAACACGCGAAAAGCGGCCACGTGGGCCAAGACGAGGAATCGGTCTGAGACGAAGGAGGGGAGGCCAACGGAGGCAGCGCAAGACAAGGCGTGAAGGATGAGGCGCTGGGCGGAGACCGTCAGCACACGATCGGAAGCGGGCAAGGAAGGGAACGTACCACCCAACGCCACAAACGGGAAAAGAACAAAGCATCGGGGGAGGAAGTGTCGGCAGAAAGGAGATGGGCAAGGAGGCCACGGCCCAGTTGTCCGAACAAGGGGCGGATATCCTGAAGGGAGCCGTCCTCGCGACGCCAGACGAAGGAGGAGGGGAACGCATCAAACAAAACGCCAAAGTAAAGGTGGTGGGGCCCGAAGACAACCGGCTGCCACAGACCGGCTTTCATCAGGCGGTCGAACTCGCCCTGCCACAAGATTCGAAGGGAGGACGACGGCAGTAAGGGCGCGGCAGGGGGGACTGGGAGAGTAGAAGCTCGATGGGAACGGACTACGGGGGCTAACCGAGGGAACAGCTTGGAAGAATAGTCGGCGGCTTGAGACGGAGGCAAGTCCTCCAACAGGCGGAGGGGCTCGAATGACTCCCGGTACGACGGGTCTCGCCCTTGCAAGAGGGGCCAGGAAGCAGGGAACTCGACGAGCGACATGGAGGCAAAACGAACAAACAGGCGACCAGGCTCCGACGACGGGGGAACCATCTGAGAGCCAAAGGGGGGCAACAACCCGGAGCGGTACAAGTTGGGGGACGACATGAAGAGGATCAGAAGGGAAAAGCCCTGGCTTATATGGGGGAACGAACGCGTTCTATATCGAACTTCGACCGAGGCGCGCAGCACAGCCCACTCGCAAGCAATATGAACAAAGGACGCGCAACTGAATTGGCAACACGAAACGCTACGCCGCACGTGACCGCGGTGAAACACTTGATGGACAGGAAGAATCGATCTGCGGACGCCACGAGGCGTCAGAAGCCGGGGAGATTAAAATGCGCAGCCGAAGCTTAGCTTAAGCTTATGGGCTGGATGGAATTTGCGATTGGAAGGACGAGCTAGAGTCAAAATTAAACCCGAGAAACCGGGCGACCGAGCCACGCCGACTCGAGACGAGTCGTTCCTAGGGGAGGGGTGATGTCACGGATAAGACCCGGCCCGTCCGCTCCGGGCGCTGGTGTCGGGCCATTGCGGGCCCGTAACACGCAGCACGTGACGACGGGGAACATGCGCCCCAGTAGGAGGAACGCACACGTGGGAAGCACGTGACCGAGAACGACGCGTCGAGCCGTCGCCGAGCCCAACTCGACACCAGGGGAATGGGGAGGAGTGCTAGGAGGTCAGGAGTAGCGCCTGGCCCGCAAGGGATGTGCGATCGTCCCCTCTGCGGCCAGGAACGGGAGTGAGGAGGAGGAGGAGGGGCCAGGGTGTCCGATCACCCCCTTTGCGGGCCCGCGTATATAATGCGCGATAGTGTACCCTGTACTCTATCGCTTAGATCGTCTGAAGAACTACCTTACTCCGTGCGAGGAGACGCTATCGACTCATCGGGCCCGACACGACCCGATTCGAACCTTCGACCACCGACTACGGCAAGGGACCGAGTTCACGGGCCCTTTCGGTTTCGATCTACCCCGCCCGCCATACTTGCGGGCCCGACTATTCGTCTGTTCTGTTCCGGGCGCGCGTTCTTAGGAGAGGTCCTTGCACGGCCCGACCCGCAGTCTGACAGACAGGATCTCGTCGTCGATACGGCGTAACTGCTCAAGCACCAGGCAGCGGACGGCAGTGGTGATGAATGCGGGCGACTTGGCGCGCAATGCAGTTAGTTGCTTCGAGGCTTGGTGGCCTACATGGACGGTGCGGTAGAGGAAAGGCTCGACCCTGTAAGTAATCACTGGTCAGCAAAACACGCAGACTATAAGTGATGGACGGACCAGACGGAGACGCGGCGGGCGACGAGCAGCAGTGTTGGTATCGTTTCCGGATCATGATACGCTAGTGCCGCCGTTTCAAAAATCTCCTGCTCTAATTCGAGGGGCAGGTCCGTGTGCATGGTCATGATGGTGGCTCCGGATAAGTGCGTCACATACCCGTCATAGCCGATTGATGGTCGGATGTCGGCGCCGACGTGGCTAATTCTCACGATCACAACTTCCTGACTCATCGCTGTCAACATTGTGTCAACAAACTCTCCTCAGGACCACGACGATGCAGCAGCGGCTCGACGCTCGCCCTCGATGCCCTTTCTGCGAGGACTTTCGTCAAGCCCTCGGAGCGTAGCCGCCGCCGATACTCCACACTCCGACGTTCCAGGCCTCGCCCCCTCACCAGAACTGGGATTTCGTGTTACCTGTGACATCCGCTGGCTTCTAGCCCCGAGCTGCGTCCGCCACTTAAGCCCGTGGGCGAGGCCCCTTCCTCTGTCGTCTCTTTCTTCCCTCCCCACCATGTCGCAACCACTTTCTGCTGCCGACCCCGCCCTGGTGTCCGTGCTGGCGCGTGCGCTGCAGGACAAGCAGCGCGAAGTCGACGAGCTCCAGGAGCGCCTGCGTATCGTCGAGGGCCATGTATGTACCACCGTCTTCTTGAGCTCTGCTGGCGGCTGATAGGTTTCACCAGCCGCGCGACGAGCCCATGCCCGAGGCGGCACCAGAGGGGGTGGATGCGCCGTTGCTAGAGCCTGAGGAGGTATGCGTTGCCCTCCTCATCGTCTCAGCCTCACAACTGCCCCACCTCCCAGCTCCGTCGCTCGCCGACGCAGCCTGCGTTCCCCACGGTGGGCCCACTTCTCGCCGGTGCCCGCGCCCGGAGCTACGACCTGCTCCAGTTCGCCGACTATTTGCATCACAATTATTTTGGCCTCGACTGCCACGGCTTCAGGAATGATTACGGTGGTCTGCCTCCGTTGGCGGTAGTACGTGCAGTCACCAACCCTGCTCAGCTCGTCGCAGCTGACCTGGCATCCTAGACGTCTGTCAGGCCGCCGCCGTACGCGTACGCGTTTCACTTCAAGGTGTGCTGCATCTCCGTCGATTGGACCCCTCCTCAAATTTCCTCTGCAGGCTGACTACCCGGAGTCGGTGCCTGAGCTCGAGGCCGAGTCCGTGTCGGAGGGCAGTGTTGGAGACGCAGCGGATGAGTGAGACGAATGAAATGTGATCGTGAACTTGCAGAAAAAAGTGGCAATTTCGTCGCGACAATCAAATTTAATATTGGTTTTGTTAGAACTTAAAACTTTATGGTTGATCTTGCGTCACATCACATGTCGTCATATGAGATTTTCTTCTTCCCGACTTCCATGGAGCCCATCTTCCCACCCGAACTCGAGCGCGAGATCTTCGAGACCGCTGCGGCGCGCCACCCAGACTGCCTCCCCGCGCTCCTGGCCGTGTGCAGGCGTACGTTGGAGTGGTGCGTCATCCTCCTCTACCGCTCAGCTTTTTTTCTTATAAGTGTAGGCTCGAGCCGCGGCAATACCGCGTGGTCCGTTTCACCGACCACGCCCTCATCCGCCGGGTGTTCACGCTGCTCGACACGCGCCCCGACTTCCTGCGCGCCGCCGTCCGGTGCGTCTGCCTCGATCCAGGGCTGGCCGTGGCGCGCGACGCGTACGCCCTCCTCCGCTTCTTCCGCGTGTGCGACGGCATCGTCGACCTCACTATGAGCTCCAGCGCCCATCCCGCGCTAGTGCCCCTCCTGGGCGCGATGTCGCGGCTGCGGCGGCTCACCGGCCCGCTCGCCGCGCTCTGCGCAGACCCCGACCGCGACGACCGCGCGCAGGCGGGCACGATCGGGGCCCTGCGTCCGGACCCCCCGCTGCTGCGGCACGTCACCCATCTGGACCGCTTCGACGCGCACGCGGCCGTGGCGGACGTGCTCGGCGGGCTCCCCGCGCTGACGCATCTGTCGTGCAGCGGCCCGGCGGGCTACGCGTGGGCACGTGGCCGACCGGACCCGGTGGCATAGCACGACCCCGGTGCGCGATGTCCGGCTGGTGGGCGGGACGTATGAGGGCGGGAGCGCCGCCTGGGCGGAGTGGGGAGGGCCATGCGCTGCGGGGCGCGCGGGACTTCTGGGCGCGGGCGGAGGAGTTCGTGCAGAGGAAGCGGATGGGGCTGGTTGAAGGCAAGCCAAGTCTCATTTCATTGTGGCCCGTGGGGAAATTGAACATGTTCGTCGGAAGACGACTGACCGCTGACGCTCGTTGCATGGGGCATACTTCCTTCAGCAAGTCCTTCAGCATCATTTTAGGCCTGTTAATGCGACCCTTCTGTGCAGGACTGATGAAAACGCTACAATAACAAGTTTGGCTTGGTCATATCATATATGCCATTGAGACCCAAAGGACTATTACCGGGAAGGTTGCTGGGACGTCCGACGGGCCGCCGGGTCCCCGGCGAACGGTTCGAAGTTCGGCTAGCGAGTGCTTGGACGTATGTGCCGCTCGCGCAGGGGGTCAAGCCGCATTGCAAGCTTCTGCTGCTCAAAGCGCTGCAGGCAGCGGCGCTCTACACCGTCGCGTTGGAGGGATATACACAGATGAACGTCTTCCGCGGAGTCCGGACAGGGAGATCCGAGATGTTCGCAACGTTTTCCAAGGCTTGGCCCGGAAAGATTGCACGAGAATCCAATCAAGACAAGGCGCTGTAGAGCAAGGCGATACCATTCCTGCAGCGCTCCTCCCAGGGACCGGCCGTAGAAACAACAATAAGGGTGGAGATGGCACAATTAAGACATTCGTCAAGCACAGGCAACTGTGGGATCTTAACTACTATGACCCATTTATGTATGTGAAGGGGCTCGTGCAACCTGCGTGCAAACATCCTTCGGTTTTGGGAGAGAAAAATATATAGCCACGATATAACAAGAGATTATCATTGCCCAGTGACACGGACACCTTGATCCTGAGCAGCTCAGGCACCGGTTCCGGGCCGCTGTCCTGCATGGTATGTCAGTAGGCTTTCGACTGCCAGTGGCAGCAGGCGGAAAAGCAACACACCATCGACAGCGGGAACGGGGTGAGCCGAGGGGTAGTAGGCGAACGGGGACGGGTACGGCCCGAGCGTCCGGCGAGTCTGCGGGAGCCGGGTGTGAGCCGCCAAGCAAGCGAGGGGGCAGACTCGACTGACCGTCAGCGGGGGCAGCCCGCCGTAGGGCGGCTCGGAGTCCGCGCGCGGGTCGTATGGGCCCTGCGGCGCGGCGTCAGGAAGAGGATGACGCGGCAGCACTGGCACATGATGACGTACAGTGGTCAGCGCGTGATGACGCACAGTATGGTAGACGGTGTCCTCGCGCATGTCGTCGTTGGCGGCGCTTGCGGCGGAGGGCTGGGGTGTGGCGGGTGAGTGCCGGGTGCTGGGGCAGCGCGTGAGGGGCTCACCGTGGGGGAGCCGGAGGATCGCTGCGTGCCCGACTGGACGCTGGGTTAGCTATGAGTCGCTGGAAGGAGAATGATGCAGACCTCCTCCTCGCGGGCCTCAGCAGGCTCAGGTGCCGCGACTTCATCCGCGGCCATCGCTGGCGGAGGGTACTGGTCTCCAACTTGAAGTTCGCGTGGCTGCTGAGACTTGAATCCGTCAGACAGTACCCAGCAGGCCGAAAAAAGACGACATACGTCGACGTTGCCGTCGACAGCACGAAGCCGCTCCTGGAGCTCGTCGACCTCGCGCTGCTTGTCCTGCAAGGCGCGCGTCAGCACGGACACCAGCGCGTCCTGGCGGGGGGCGGCGGCAGTGTTTGCGTTTGCATTTGCGGTAGCCATGGTGGGGGAAGGAAGAAAGAGTCGACGAAAGAAGAGGCGCCTCGCCCTCGCCCTTAAATGGCGGACGCAGCTCGGGGCTAGAAGCCGCGGATGTCACAGCGGTAACGCGAAATCCCCAGGTTTGGGAGGCAGCGAGGCCTGGAGCATCGAAACGTGGCGGCTGCGCCGGACTAAAGCCCTCGCGAGAGAGGCATCGAGGGCGAGAGTCGAGACGCTGCTGCGTCGTCGTGGTGCTGAGAAGAGTTTGTTGACAGCGCTGAGTCAGGAAGTCGTGATCGTGAGAATCGGCCAAGTCGGCGCCGACGGAGTTCTTCGCCGAGGCCACAACGTACGTACATCACCTGCCACCCACCCAAGGATTCAGAAGGAAACGGGAGGATTTTTAATTATTTTGATCAGGGTATTTGGCCAAACAAGGGACACATTTATTTGTTGTGGGAAAGGCATCAAAAAGACCCAATGACTAGAATAGCAATCTTGTCAGAAAAAAAGGAATCAATACTGTAGTATTTTACTCAGTTCGCATGTCACGCGTCACACTTGCCATAAAATTCGAATTTTTTTCGCATGTCACACCCTTTTGCTCAAATTTGTGTCCCAAAAAGGCAATTTCTGACGTTTCCGGGCGCCTCCGGCGCCAAGAACTTCCCAATTAGGCAATAATTCGAATTCAAATTTTCGTATCAAATGTCACGCCATTTTTGGCATTCGAATTGAGTAAAATACTACAGTATTATAATACCAAAAGGTTCCTTGTAACCAAAAAATTTCCATTTTCTACCCTACAGGCAAGCTCGAGGAGTGACGAAAGTAGTGGGACTGGGACTCGTCATATGGGACCCAGTCCCATTTTGATGGAACCCAGTCCCATCTTTCAGCTTACAGAGTGTGATTCACTGCATCAGGCGATTGATGACCGATCTCGGCATTATTGATTATCAAATACAGCATCACTTTTTTTATCAATGTCCCCCACATAGTCGGGAAATGCCTCGGAGAAACGATCTCTCACCTGCTCGGCAGCTTCGCGTGCTGTCTTATATGTAACCCCATCAATCTCACATCCCCACCCCATCAATCTATCTTTCTTGGCACGCTTGGAGGCTGGCACGGAAAGCACTGTGGGCCCGGCCGGCGCTTCGTCGTCGGCCCGACGTTTGGCCGCTCTCTCCCGGGTGCCACGACGCAGCTTCGGTGCAGAGACCGCCGCGGATGGAATAGCAGTACCCGATGCTGGATGCGAGCTAGGGCCAGGCAGTGGTGCATTTGTGACGGTGGTAGAAGCGTCATTTGTCCCATGAGACACCGGCGGCAATGATGAATAGTCGGGGAGATGTGGCGTAGTGTCCGGTGTCAGTGTCGGTTCCAACGGACAGTAATTCGGCGACTCAAAGAGGGTGCTTGGAGTTGGGGGCTCGAGGAGGCTGTTCCAAGCCAGAGACATGTCGGACAAACTTGTGTTCGCTTGAAGCGGTTCTAGCTCCGGTTCCGGTAGTACTGGGGCCAGGGGAATAACGGGAGACAATAAGGGTGGAGATGGCACAATTAAGACATTCGTCAAGCACAGGCAACTGTGGGATCCTAACTACTATGACCCATTTATGTATGTGAAGGGGCTCGTGCAACCTGCGTGCAAACATCCTTCGGTTTTGGGAGAGAAAGATATAGCCACGATGTAACAAGAGATTATTATTGCCCAGTAACACGGACACCTTGATCCTGAGCAGCTCAGGCACCGGTTCCGGGCCGCTGTCCTGCATGGTATGTCAGTAGGCTTTCGACTGCCAGTGGCAGCAGGCGGAAAAGCAACACACCTTCGGCGGCGGGAACGGGGTGAGCCGAGGGGTAGTAGGCGAACGGGGACGGGTACGGCGCGAGCGTCCGGCGAGTCTGCGGGAGCCCGGCTGTGAGGCGCCAAGCAAGCGAGGGGGCAGACTCGACTGACCGTCAGCGGGGGGCAGGCCGCCGTAGGGCGGCTCGGAGTCCGCGCGCGGGTCGTATGGGCCCTGCGGGGCGGCGTCAGGAAGAGGACGACGCGGCAGCACGTGATGACGTACGGCAGTCAGCGCATGATGACGGACAGTATGGTAGACGGTGTCCTCGCGCATGTCGTCGTTGGCGGCGCTTGCGGCGGAGGGCTGGGGTGTGGCGGGTGAGTGCCGGGTGCTGGGGCGGCGCGTGGAAGGGGCTCACCGTGGGGGAGCCTGAGGATCGCTCCGTGCCCGACTGGACGCTGGGTCAGCGATGAGTCGCTGGACGAAGAGCGATACAGACCTCCTCCTCGCGGGCCTCAGCAGGCTCAGGAGCCGCGACTTCATCCGCGGCCATCGCTGGCGGAGGGTACTGGTCTCCAACGTGAAGTTCGCGTGGCTGCTGAGACTTGAATTCGTCAGACAGCACCCAGCAGGCCGAAAAAGACGACATACGTTGACGTTGCCGTCGACAGCACGAAGCCGCTCCTGGAGCTCGTCGACCTCGCGCTGCTTGTCCTGCAAGGCGCGCGTCAGCACGGACACCAGCGCGTCCTGGCGGGGGGCGGCGGCAGTGTTTGCGTTTGCGTTAGCAGTAGCCATGGTGGGGGAAGGAAGAAAGAAAGGCCAAAGATAGTGTCTCGTAGAATGCAGATGGTGGTGTAGACGCAAGATGTCGGTGATGCGCTGGCAATGTGATCGCCGAAATGACAGGTGATCGCTTGATGCTCGGCCGTCATCACGCCACGCGGCAGGAATCCCACTGGGCGCCATGAAAATGGGACCCGGTGCATCAAAATGGGACTGAGTCCCACAGCGCGAGTCCCAGTCCCATTAGTCTGGTATATACTCGGCAAGCTCTTTTTTAGCTTTATTTTCTATCCACTTGACCTTTTTCAACTATACATCTCAATGTCCAGTACTCAGTCTATAGACCACACAATTTATGTAAACTAGTTCTGCACTTAACTCATCTTGCAATGTTTACCTTAATGCATCCTCTGAGAGTATATAGAGATCAATCGGAGTATGTGGGGAGATTTATACACCTCATTTGCTGAATTTCACATATTGGATCTATAATCAACTGGCAGATTACAGCTGTATTGCTAATATGATGTGCAGTACTATTCATTATTAAAATGGGGAATAACAAGATTTTTCATGCATATAATGTGGTGTGAAAAGTGTAATCTTATAGGGGGACCCCTTCTCATGCTTCCTACTCTTATACCATTAGGGATCCCTCACTTCTAATTCAGTTATTCGAAGATTGGTGTGTTAGGATATATGTCATATATAGAGGTAAATATGATATGTAAAATTATAAGGAGCTTCCATATCTATGATGGTCATCTATTAAAACAGAGCACAACTTACATTAGGCTTATCCGTGGATTTTCCAGTGAGATATCAAGTGATTATTGAGTCTGATCAAATTTGAAACATGAAAAACTAGAGGAACACAGTGTAATATCATAGTCTCAAGATATAGGACTATGATTACATTAGAGCATATGAGCACTAGGTTATGACCTACCTACCAGTACAAGAATCATCTAACTTAATGCAGGATTGGTGGAGATATTGCAGCATCAATGTAGGTGATGAATCATCATGAAACGATATAGCTATACTAATAATATTTGATTGTCTAGGATATCAATCTTATCATTTAGGCACCCCTGGTATTGCTTCAATTACCTATAAAAGTCATCTACTGAGTGAGATATCACTGGATTAGATATAGATCAGCTATTAATTAGCCAGTACTAGCACAATTATTCAGCTGTAAGTATAGGTCACTTAATGAAAGTTGTTTGTATAGTCAAAATATACAACTTTGATTTTGTGACGATCTGTGACATCCTCAGATAATCATACAGTCAAACAGTGAAAATTTCCCTTTTGGGAAATTTGTCACACTAGGTCACATATATCATAAGTGTTGTATCCTGGAGGTTTGATATTATTATTATTCATACCAGAATATGCTTATATAATAGCTTCTTTGTAATGTGACATACCAGTGTCACATCTTATTGTCTCAGTAAACCTGGCAGTTCATAGTGGGTACCAGGCTACATGTCACAAACAGAGCTTGATCAAATGATGGGTCAACTGAATGAGTGATCAAGTGATGGCTCCGTAGAACAAAGTAAAGGGAGGATTCGTAGGATGGTAGGAGTTTGTTACTAGTATGACAGACTCCCAAACAGGTAGGTGTGTTTGGTGTAATCAATGAGAATAAAAGGACTAGGGTACAGGAGATCTAGCAGGCTACTTATATACCGTCTGCACCTGTGACGTCACATACTAGTGCAACAGGTGTCAGACTAAACTAGACTGTAAGTAGCTGTTTCACCATGGCACTTGTCACACTACTGTCAGAGTAAGGCTATGCAATAGGACATAGACATTTGACAGGAACAGTGACAAGCGGGGATGTCATCAGGGCGACGATTGGATCAAAAAGGATAGGTATGTGGTAGGAATCAACAGGGTGTGATACTACACAAGTGTTATTATTACTAATATGAGATTATGATCAATAGTATCATGCCAGTCACAAATGTCACAAAATGTCACACTGACCTTGTGCAATAACACATGAAATGACTTAGAGCCTGGGGGTCCCAGAGATATTGCAGTTTTATAGCCCCCTTTATTGCAGCATAGGGCTTTTTATATTATCTCCTCTAATTAGAATGGTTACCCGCATGGGTGGTCTATTCTAATTAGAAGAGATAATTAGGATTAACAGGTGGGAAATGTTAGCGCGTGATCGACCTTGGCGAGATGGAGAGATGAGGAGATGTCAATGGCAGATCCCACATTTGGGATATCGACAATTGCACTGCCAGCGCACGGCTTCGTTCTTCCCTCGACGGACGAACGAAGCTAATCCATTTATTAGCTTTGCGCTGCCCATCCGCGCGCAACTGTCCGCCAAAGTGCATTTGCTTTAACGGGAAAAGGATGGAAGAATTTGTGTAAGACTAAAAGCAAAAGTGAATGTAAAATCACAGAAACTCGCCTCAGTCATGAAGCTCGGCTCTGGGGGATCAGGGACTTGCTGCAAGAATCTGGTGGTCGGGGGGCTCGGTGTTCCCTAGTAGCCTGCCCTCAGTGGAGCAATCTTAACACTGGTTATAAACTTAGTGTGGTTTGGGTGTGAGAAGTTCTATTAAATGATGATGTTGACTACAAACAAATAGACACATCAAATATTGATGATAGGCATCCTACAGTGGAAATTGCCTTATATGGGAAAGCTATGTAAGGGACATTCCACACTTCCACACTGTACTTCAGAGTGAGATTTATAGGATAATGACTAACTACATTAAAGATACATATATAGTAGGATTTTATAGTTCTATTAATGTTTTTGGAAATTGAGAGGACTTACTAGGTAGGATGTTATCAGCCCACATGACTCTGTTAATTAATATAAGGATATATACCTGTTTAGCCCATCGACACCACCATAGACAATATGACGGCTTGGACTGACGAAATTAAACACGGTCACACACAACCTACTGGCACACACACACCAGACACTACATATGATGAAGCACTTGCCGCCCAACAGCAACGTGCCGAATTTTCCCGACATAATCAATCTTAGGGTTCCACTAGTAAGAGCCGCCTATATGATCAAAAAGGCAAGGGACATGCATTAGTGGATGTTGATGAAACTGATGACGAACCTGACTATATAAAGCCTTGGGTGCGCTCCAAATCTTCTGCTTCTTCTGAACCAGCTCCGAAACACATGAACGCTCCCTTCACTTTTAGTCCACCTCCTCGTTCCTTCCTGGATATGCCTGTACCAGGGACCAAGGAAGCACCATGAACCTTCAAGGGCAAATATTCCGAAGTCACACGTTTTATTCGGCAGTACGAACACTTGTTAAAGAAAAACCAGGTGACTGATGCTAAAGATCAATGCACACTTATTTTGGACTACTGTTCCCCTAATGTGCAGAATGTGATTCGCACATTAACATCATTTGCACGCCGAGACTGGAAAGGTCTAAAGAAGCTGATCTTAAAGACTTTTGATGCTGAACATGCACTTTACAAGTACAGTTTCACAGATGTAATGAATTTTGCACGGGAAGCAACTAAGTCTCGGATTGGCAATATGAGTCAATGGAGACAGTACAATATCCAGTACAACACTATTGCTGATGGACTCTATTCTCAAAGACGCATCTCAGATAACCACTATCATGTTTACTTCTGGCTTGGCATCAACAAAGACTTGAGAAGTGCTTTAGAGGCTCACATCCTGCATGGAAGGTTAACAGATGACAGTTCTTCTTATTCTATGCAGGAAATCAATGCAGCTGCTGATTGGTACTTTAGACGAAATTGGGCGGAGGCTATGTTACTGAATGCCTCAGAGTTTGGCTATAATAACTATGCACCAGACTCTGATTTAGACTCAGGTTCAGGTTCAGACTCTGATAGTGACTCTGACTATGCTCAGCATTATAGAAAGAAGAAAAAGAGAGCAACTTCAACTTCCAAAAAGGATCATAACAAGAAGGTGAAACTTCCTCTAGGTGGGAATGTTGGAAGAGTGTATTAGCATGCGCTACATCCCAGCTGCCGAGCGGGTCTTGCGACATCTCTGGGATAACAACTTCTTCGATATCGCCCTTCCTTCTGATGCAGATGACATCTTCCTTCGTGTGCAGAGAATGGTGATGAATCCTCAAGTTCAGGCAGCATCAGCGTGCAAACCCCCTTTGACAGCAGCGGAGAGTTTGCGGGGCTGCAGTACCTATACAGCTCTTCCTCCAGCAGCGCTTCCGACCCCCTTGAGGATATCAGCAATGCCGCCGAATATCTCCGAAGAATCCGCCCTACGGTCCGCGTCTCCGACAGCTCCCACGCCGCCTTCATTGATCCTGCGATTGCCCGGGTCATCGACGATGCTCACACCTAAATGCAACACGTCCCATAAATGTGGGTACCAATTTATTCTGCTCGCTGCAGATGTTCTCACATCTCCTGCTTACAGAATAGTTGATAGTACCTATTTCTTGAAACTTCTTGTTTTCTTCTCACTTCCTTGTACCACCACTGCCACCTTCTTGCAATCACCCTCACAGCCACCATCAATTCTTCTATAATCTCTGCTACCAGCTTACTAAGCCTGCTACTGATGGCCACCTTGCTGCTCCCCCTTCTTGCCTTCTCTCCTTTGCACTCTATCTCTCATGCTACACCCTAGCTGTTGGGCTGCTACTACAAACTAGTTTGTAGTATTTTGCACTCCTTTGTACAGCTATGTTTGCAATTTAAACATGTGCAGTCATCTGTAATAGAGTGGATCTTAAAGAAGCAGAAGCACACTAGCTCCAGTTTGCAAAGATGGACTTAGCTGTTTTGCTCTTAGAACTAATAGCTGAACTTCTGCCACAACACAAAAACACTGTTTAGGCTTCACACCAAAGGGTGATGCAGACATTTAGGAAGATGATGATGAATACATATTTTACCCAGTGGAAATGACTGATGAGCATGGCAAAGGCTTGGAAGGCTGAGGCTTCACTATGTACAAGAGGGTGGACAAGAAGAACAGA